CATAAATAGCACTTTATGGTTTCAAAGTAAATATGTTATCTCATTCGATCCTTCCACAACCCTGGGAGGTAGGTACTATTGTTATCCCCATTTTACTGATAAGGAAACTGAGGCTGTAAGAGGTTAAGTGATTTGCCCAGGGTCACACTGCTAATAAATATTTGAGGAAGGACTTGACCTCAGGTCTTCCTGGGTCCAACTACAGCCCTCTTACTCTTTCACAACCTAGCTGCCTCCAAACAAATTTGAAAGGCCTAAGAATCCTAAACCATGACCTAAAATTAACCATGATTCCAGAGGACTGATAATGAAACATGTTGGCCACTTTATAACAGAATGGTGATGGACTTAGGGTACAAAGTGATATATATCATTTTTGGACATGGCCAAGGCTGGACTTTGTTTTGCTTAACTATATATTACAAGAGGTTTTTCTCTTTTTTCCCCCTCAACAATGGATGGAGATAGGTGAAATGTAAAGAAAATAGATTTCTGTTCATTGAAAAACATAAAATTTAATTTTTAAAGAGGATTATGAGAGAGGAAAGAATCAAGTATATATGTAGAGGGGTTAGGAGTGGCAAGAAAAAGAGCCATGTCTTTGTCAGACCTGGGGAAAAGAGAAAAGTATGAGATGATATCAAAGGATTTTGAGGTGAAAAATATGAAAGATGAGCTCATGTTGAATGGTCTCATTTTTGTTTCAATAAAATTACAGATAAGGTCCTCAGCTGAGAAGGAGTTGTGTAGAGGAGGCCTCAAGAAGAAATAAAAGGTTTAGAATAGTTCCTGTGGGGAGTGAGATAGAGAATCAATTAAGGAAGAATAAAAAGACTGCCTTGCTTCAGTGAGGGCTCAGTTGATGCTGAATAACAAGAATTTGTAATGTATCCAACCAGGACAATTGTGGGTTCAGAAGCTTATAAGCAGGGGCAGAAGAGGCAGATGGTGGAAGTAATTCAAGGCTAAGGTTTGGAAAGCAGGGAGGAGTGACAGGATAAGGGGTGCAAGAGAAATGAGGCAACAGGCCTAGGAATTCAACCCTAAGCACCTATTTAGGCAATGGTCATAAAGATCCTGACTGCTATAGTATAAAAAACACTGCATTTCAAGTCAGAACACCTACTTTCAAATCTGCTACTTACTACCATATGGTGGAGGCAGTGTGGTACAGTAGAAAGGCATCAGAGGACTTGCGTTTGATTCTCAGTATAGTCACTTACTACCTACATGACCTTAGGCACATTTCTTAAGCTCTCTATAGCTTCAATTTCCTCATCTGTAAAATGAGAAGGACAAACCAGTTGATGTGTAAGGTGCCTTTCTGCTTGAAATCCCTGTACATATACATAAAGAGCCTCTGTTTACTCATCTATGAGATGAAGAGATTGAACTAGATGATCTCTCCCCTGCAGCTAACTAGAATAAATCTGATTCCTCTTCCACAGGGCAGCCTTTCAAATATTTGAAGTCATCAATTATGTCCCTCCTAGTCTAGACTTCATCCTATAAGGGGGAGGTAAAAGCGAAGGAACAGAACTAAAGGTTTTTAAGCACAAGCAAAATATCTTTGAAAAAAAAACTAACAATGCCTCCTGGATTGGAGAGAGAGAATTTTGGAGACAGACACACCCATCAGGAGAGTATTATAAGTCTAAACATGATACACAGCATGAGGTGATGAGGATTTATGATGGTAGTAGTAGTGAAAACGTAAAGGGCATCTGGAAATGACTTAACAAAAGGAAGAATGAACATATCTGGTTAATAATCAAGAATAAAAGAGAAGAATCAAGAATGACAATAAAGTTTCAAGGCTGATAGTCTGGAAATGGTGGTTCCATTGACAGAAACAGTAAAGTGTGGGAAGGGAACTGGTTTGGGGAAGAAAAGAATGAGTTTGGTTTTAGACACGTTGAATTTAAGGTGATGGTAGGACATATGGACAATAATAGATATAGAACTGGATGTTCAAGCCCGGCATTCAAGAGAAACTTGGTCGGGCTCAGAGATGTATATTAGAAGTCTTGTTAGAGGCAACTTTCAAAAAAATTTTAATTATTATTTGTTTCACTGGGAGAAATTTGGGATTACAAGCAACTAATTAAAGATCTCATTGTTCCATTTTTCCCGCTTACATTTCCCAAAAATAAAAATTTAAGAGGACCACCACTAAGTTAGTCACAAGGTACTTATGTCGCCAGGGCAGGTGGGTAAACAGTGCCACTATATGAACCCACTGATAGATTTAGATAAAGGAAACATTTCATTTGTCTAAAACCTGTTTTCCTTTCCCTGACTCCTATCCTTTACCTTCAGTTTCCAAAATATTTATTGGAATTTGGTTAAGCCAAAGGTTTTCAGGAGGAAAGGTCAGATTAAGAAAAATGTTTTCACAACTATGGGCTTGGAGGGAGGAAGGGGAGAGAGAATCAGGCCCATGATTTCACTGACACATGCTCAGCAACTTATAGTGATAGAGAACTGCCTAGGACACTGAGAAGTTCAACTGCTTATCCTGAAGGAGCTAAAATTTGCATCTAAAAACGTATAACAGAGTTGCTCAATTTTTTGTACCCTTAACTCAACGGGATTTATACTACAAAGCAAAATTTAAATTATGTCGGTAAACAGAAAAATTACAACTGAGTTATGAATAACTTTCATAAGGAAAATAAGAAAAGAAAGAATTTTACTTCCTTGCTTTAGAAATCTCTGAAAAGGCTCTAAAATGATACTATTATCCTTGCCCACTTTAAGCATTTCTGTAGCACCTTGCACTTGAAAGAAGCATATAATTACTGCAAATATATCATTCCAATTTTACCAGTCTATGTGTTGTTCTCTCCATTCTATATTTTCAGCCAGTAATGAAAAGCAGAAAAGGACCACCACATTTCTAATACAATAAAATCTTCACTTAGATAGCAAAACAGAGCACTGATATGATGCAATCAACTTCAAGTGGGCTCTAAATACAGAAACTACTTTCTCTAAACAACTAATTATAAATGAGGACATTCACTCAATACCCTTTAACCTAATAACATAGAAGCTAAAAGTCCAAATCAAATTAGCCACTCCACAGCCATCAAAACTGACACTATATGGATGAATCCTCCAACTAAAACTTGCTCAAAGTAAACAAAATCCAACATGAGCCAAAAAATTGGAAAACAATCATATTCTAAGTACTTTTTCGCAAACAATACCACTCATCCACAAAAATATCTGGCATTTACTGGAACCAAAACCATAACTCTTCGTTCAGGAAAGAACTCTGCCCAAAGCAAGGGGCATCACTCTTGTGTGTAGCAGTGACAAGAATCAAAGAAGTCCTCTCAATTGTATTTCATTATAGCAGAGAAGTCCAATATCAGAATCGATTTTCCTAAATCTTCCCTTATTACTATTTCTCCCTCAAAAAAGTACACTGCTGGACTCTCAGGTGCTCACCTCTATCCAGCGGGCACCACCTCCAAAACAGGGCACCTGAGAGTCACACTACTCTTCTCAAATTTTCCCGAAAGCTTTTTCCTTCCCTTCAGGGTTCAGGTCAGCTACTGCTTGCTTCATGAAAACTTACCTCTTCAACAACCCAGTTACAGAGGATCATTCTTTCCTCAAATTTTCTTAGAACCTTTTGTCTCATTTCTCCTTCACTTTTATTATATTCTACCTTGTAGTAGATTTATTTGTGTACTTTCCTGATCTCCACAGATTTTCAGCTCCTTGGGGTCTGGGAAGTGTTGTTTTTGTACTCATTAATCATTGTACTCCCAGAGCCTAGCCTATAATTGGTACTTCATAAACTTCAAATTTAATCTGCAAGACAGACAAGACCTCTAAAGTTTTGCAGGCTTCTTTTCAGTTCCTGTACTTAATGAAACCTCCCCCCTTTTTCAATGGCGATGTTTTTCTACCCCAAAAATCAATGGCCACTGCCATTTCCTCTACTATATCCCCACAAATTACTCCCATACTCCTATTCCTATAGAAAATTGTACCTTTTATAAGTCCTTGAACCCACCTGAACCTAGGTCTGGGAAACCTGCAAAAGCCTCACTTTCCTCATGTGTAAAATGAGGGGCAGCAAGATGGCACAGTGGATAGACTATCAAGCTTGGCCTAGAGTCAAGAAGACTCATCTTCCTGAGTTCAAATCTGGCCTCAGACACTTCCCTGCTATGTGACCCTGGGCAAGTCACTTAACCCTGTTTGCCTCAGTTTCCTCATCTGTAAAATAAGCTAGAAAAGGAAATAGCAAACCACTTCAGTATCTTTGCCAAGAAAACTCTAAATGGGGGGAGGGCTGTGGAGAAGGGCACTGCAGAAACTATGGAACAACAAAATGAGAAGATTGGACGACATGGCCTCTGAGGTTACTTTCAACTCTAGATTGATGATCTGTGGATATAAAACCCACCCCTATTTTGTCTTCTCCAAGGTCTATCTCTGGAATCCTCACCTTTCCTAACACAAGACAATGAATGGCCTTATCTTCCCCCAACCCCAAACCCTACTTCCCAGTCCTATTCCTATGCACTGGGTGCCTCCACCCTTATTATAGCTACTACTGCAATCAATAGCCTTACCCAGTGATCTTCACCCCCTCACCTTCCAGCCACGGGGACCCATTCTCCCACCTGAGACATACAGGCCCCAATCTTGCTCGGGGAAGACTCTCTCCAGAGGCCCCCAGCTATGCAATCTGGCATCCCCTGCCTCAGCCCTCTTCCCCCCACCCCCTGGGCACCTTGCCCTGACATTTCTCCAGGGTTTGGGGGTTTCTGAAGGGCCTTCTCACCACGTCCCAGAGAAGCGGCCAAGGCCGGGAAGATTTCCCCCACGGCTGGCCCCCATCCAGCCAGTCCCCGGCCCTGGCAAGCCCCGAGCCCCAACACACGGGCGCAGTGTCCGTCCCCCAGGGTCGTTGTCACCGTGCCTCCCACAGCCTCCCACAGCGTCCGCGTCCCGGCGTGTCCCAGACGCTCGCTCACCTGAAGCGGCCCCCGCAGTGCTGGCACTGGTCGCCCACCCAGCCGGCCGGGCACACGCACTGGCCCGTGCCCGGGTTGCAGTAGCCGCCGTTCACGCAGGGCCGGTCGCATTCCTTGGCCTCGGCCGCGGCCGAACCCGACGCCGCGGCCCCCGGCGCCGCCGCCTCGGCCGCCCGGGGCAGGGGCAGCGGCAGCAGCAGCAGCAGCAGAAGCAGCGGCAGCAGCAGCGGCGGCGGCGCCGCCGGGGGCCGCAGGAGCGGTCGAGACCCCGGCCCCGGCGCAGGCCGCCCGCTCCTCGCCCTCGCCCTCCCTGTCACCACCACCACCACCGCCGCCGCCGCCGCCCGGCCCCGGCCCGGACCCCGGCACTGCGGCAGGGGCCTCCGCGTCCTCTCAGTGCTCGCTGCCGGCCCCTTCCTCTGCCTTCCCTCGGCGGCCGCCGACACCATCTTAGGGGGGCAGAGACGGCTTCCCCCTCTCGTCTCACACACAGACACACACACTCGCCCCGGACCCGCTTCGCCTTCTCCAGCACTGGACGAGACGGACGGTGGCCCGCTCGGTCAGAGCCGAGGGGGTGGGGGAAAGGAGGGAAAGGGGAGGAGAGGGGAGGGGAGGGAGAGAAGGGAGGGGCTAAGACAGGAGAAGGTTGGGGAAGGCGACTGGGGCGTGCGCAGTGGAGGTTCTAAGCGCCGCGGTAGGAGGGGCCGGCCGGAGCTCGGGCTTCCGCGTGGCCGGGGGCGTGGCGTCGGCGGAGGCGGCGGAGTCCTGGGGCTCCCTCGGGGGTCCCGCGCGCTCCTCTCGGTGTACCCCTGGCGCGAGCCCACTCCTTGTCCCCCTGCCCCCCGGGAGTCTGGCAACACCTAGTGAGGCCGGGGGCGGCCCGACCCACAGACCGATGGATCGATGGATGATGTCCCTGCGGTAGGCCCAGCCCTGGCTCCCGGGCAGAGCAGCGAGAAGGCGCCCCCTGGCGGCCGACAGCGGCGGTTCTCGAGAATCCCAAGCGGGGATTCTCGGCTGGGGAGGACAGACCCCAGCGCCCATCCTCCAGACCCCTCCCTTCAGAATCTGCTTCTCGCCCTGTCCCCTCCCCCCTTCCCCCGTCCCCCACCCCAAGTGTGCTCTTCTCCACCTCTCCCCTCCCTTTTCCTCCCCCATGCCTACCTTCTTTTCCCCCACCGTCTCCCCTTTTCTCCCCACTTTTCCTCTACCTTGGCCCCTCCCCACTCACACCCACTTCTCTATCTTTCTTCCCCCACCCTCTCCTCTCTCCACCTCCCTTTCTCCCCTCTTCTCCCCCTTACTTTCCCCCCTTCCCCATTTCCATCCACATGCCCCACCCTCTCCCCTACCTGCTTCTCCTCCCTCACCTCCCTCTTGCCTTCTTTTCTCACCACCTTCCTCCTTTCTTCCCTCACCATCATTCCTTCAAAATTCCCCTCAGCAACATTCCCCAAAAACTTCCCCAAAGCATCTTCCCTTGAAATTCCCCCTCGCACCCCCTTTTATCGCTATCACTTAAAAATCCCTGCAAACCCTCAACACCATCCCTTACCATTACTTTTGAAGAATTTAAGCAGTGCACAAAGGACTGCTGTCTCCAAACAAGGGACTCCCAAATTTGGGGACAAAGTCAGAAAGCATGACTCTTGGAATGAAATCTCCGAAGAATCATCATAAAATGGATGGGCTTAACCAACTACTTAAGTCACCAGCATGAGAAACATTTATTAGTTAGTGATACGTCTAAGGGACTTTTCCTGAATCTCAGCTAAGGATCTAGGGGACTTCCTGAAAAAGGAAAATATCCATTTAAAATGTAGAAAATAATTGTCGATTGGAAACTCTAATATGACTACTGTTTTTAGTGTTTGAAGAATTAAAATCATCTCCTCCAGGAACTTAGGGTCATTAGTTGTTTGAATTGGAAGAAACCTTTCAGATCATCTGGGTAACAGCAGAAACTGACAGAAATACCAGTGTGAGAAAGCAAATGGAAATAAAGTTTTGAAATGTTTAAGTAGTTGTTGCAATCCCACCAAGAAGCCCTTTTAAAAGTGTTAGAAGAAAAGGGAAAGCCACACGTTCCTCCTTCCCATCTCAGTCTTCCAGCAGTCTTCACAACAAGCCCTCAAAGTAAAGACTTAGGTGATGTCCCCAGTTTCCCAGTGAAGAGGCTATGTGTAATCACTTAGCTCATGGTCGCACAAGGTCAGTGGTGAGACTCCTGACTTCAATTCTCTTGCTATTTCCACTACACCATGATAACTTTACACAAAAAAATCCATAATAGATTGACCTGGCCCCCCTCACGTGTCTCATAGAGCTTTGCCTCTACCTCTCCTTGGTAATTAATTTCATTCTCCCTGACGTCATGGTGATTTGGTTATTATTTGGAAACTATAATATGGCTACTATTTTTAGTATTTGAAGAATTAAAATCATCTCCTTCAGGAACTTAGGGTCATTAGTTGTTTGGGTTGGGATGACAGAAGCTTTGCGACAAGTCAGAATTTGTCAGTGTGTGTCTACGCAGCTTGATCCTACAACTGAGAAGGTCAATTTGTCAACATATCCTGCCAAGGTTAATGGAAACACCCTTTCTGTACTTGCAACTCACTTTACTGGGGTTTATGTTTACCAAGGTGAGCTAAGCAGCACAGTGGATAGAATGCCAGGCCTGGAGTTAGGAAGACTCCTCTTCCTGAGTTCAGAACAGCCCTTAGACACTTGGTTCAGTAAGAAGGCAGATGAAATTTAGTTCTACACTGATAATAACAATCCAAATTGCTTTAGTGATACCCTGAAGGCTATTTATGGGCCATTATGGTACATCTCAACTACTCAGTGCTGATGGAGCCACACTGATTGATGATAAGGACATGATCCTGGAGAGATGGCCTGAACACTTCCATGATGTTCTCAACAGACTATCTTCAATCAATGCTGAAGCCATTGACTATATACCTCAAGTTGAAGTCCGTTCCTCTCTAGCCAAACTTCCAACTGAAGAAGAGGATTTGAATGCCATTTGGCTCCTCTTGTGTGGCAAAATGCCTGGTGCTTATTCTATTCCAGCTGAAATTTACAAGGCAGGGGGTCTACTGCTCATACAAAAGCTGACTGAAATTTTCCAGATTATATGGTAAGAGGAAGTTATTTCCCAGGAATTCAAGGATGCATCCACTGTCTCCATCTCTATAAAGGAAAGGGAAATAGGCTGTCCCATGACAATCACAGGGAGGTCTCTATCTTAGTCATTGCTGGCAAAATTCTTGCTAGAGTCCTCCATAATAGCTGATCCTTCACCTGGAAGAGGGTCTTCTACCCAAGAGCTAGTGTGGCTTCAGAAAGGGCACAAAGAATGTGGTATTTGCTGCCCACCAACTCAAGGAGAAATGCCAGGAGCAGAAGAGAGGTCGTCAATCTGACCAAAGCCTGTGATACTGTCAGTTATGAGTGCTCATGGAAAATCTTAGCAAAATGTAGTTGCCTGGAAAAGTCAATCAGTATTGTGTATCAGTTTCACGACAGCATGCTTGCCTGGGTTCTGGATAATGGATGATGCTCTCCTACTTTCCCAGTCACCAATGGAGTGAAGCAAGGATGTGTGCTTGCTCCCATGCTTTTTAGCATGATGTTTTTGGTGCTGTTGTCAGATGCCTTCAACAAAGACAAAAAATGGCATCAAAGTTAGCTACCATACTGATAGTAAATTATTTAATTTGAAAAGGCTCCAAGCCAAGACTAAAGTGTAGGGAGAGTTGGTAACGTGATTTTTTTATTCACAGATGATTGTCCACTCAATGCAGCCTCTGCAGCTAATGCAACAAAGTGTAGATGGATTCTCTGTTGCTTGTGCTAATTTTGGCCTAACAGCACCAAGAAAACAGCTGGCACCACACCATCCATACGTGGAACCATTGGTTACAGCAAATGGAGAAATACTGAATGTTGTGGATAAGTTCAGTTACCTTGGCAGTATACTTTCCAGTGATGTACACGTGATGATGAAGTTGATGCATGCACTGCCAGAGCTAGCTCAGTGTTTGGGAGACTCTGAAGAAAATTATGGGCGAGAAGAAGTATTAGACTGCCTACCAAAACTGAAGGTCTACAGAGCTGTTGTGCTAACCTCATTGTTGTGTGCCTGTGAAATCTGGACAGTCTACCAGCACTATGCCAGGAAACTGAATTGCTTCCACCTGAATTGTCTTAGGAAGATGCTGAAGATCACCTAGCAAAATAGGGTACTGGACACTGAGGTCTTTTCTTGAGCTGAACTGCCAAGCATTCAAACTCTGCTTCAGAGAGCTCAACTCTAATGCTGACCACATTGTTCGAATGCTAAACACCTATTTGCCTAAAAGACTGTTGTATGGAGAAGTTAAGGCAAGTGCTTACAAATGGAGGTCAGAAGAAGTGATCCAAGGACTCTCTCAAGGTCTCTCTGAAGAATTTTGGAATCAGTTGTGCTCCATGGGAAACCCTGGCAAAGGACCATCCAGCATGGTCTGCCTGCATCAAAAAATTTGCTATACTCCATGCCAAAGCAGAATTTCAGTAGCTCAAAGGAAAAGTGAGACACAAATTTAGAGACATCTCTACTCCAAATGTTCATGTGGACTCTTTGCTCTCAACTTGTGGTAGAGCCTTCTGAGCTTGTAGTAATCTGATCAACCATGGACAGACACACTGTACCTTGACTCCAACATAGTGATGTAATTTTGGTCTTCTTCAAGAACAAAGAACAATAACCAACCAACCATCTGTGTGACACCAGGCAAGTCATTTAACTCTGTTTCCCTCAGTTTTCTCATGAACTGGAGAGGGAAAAGACAAACCACTCCAGTGTCTTTGCCAAGAAAACCCCAAAGGGGATCACAAAGAGTCGGATGCGACTGGAAAATGACACAACAGCAATGCTTGCCAAACAATCTGATTTTTTAATTTGGTCTCCTGAATGGACTTAGCCATCAGTAGGGTATGCCCTTTACAAATGGCCAACACCAGTTCTTATGCCAGGTTTATTTCCCATTGTAAATTAATAAATTGGTCTCTTGAGTGGACTTTCACATCAGGAGGGGGGGCTCTGTGCAGTCAACCAATGTTAGTTCTCATGCCAGGTATATTGCCCATTTATAAATTAACAAATTGGCATTCTGGTTTACAAATCAGTCTCTAGTGAATTTGATTAGCATGAACCAGTTGCCCAGAGCTGATTGCTCCTGAGTAATTAGATAAAATGGAGTTTGTCAGCCTGTAAAGTTAAGAACCAAGCCCAGGCTTATCTGTGTGAAATACCCAGGAAGATATCATTGAGCAACCGGGTATCTTTCCTACCTGGGAGGTAAGGTGTTATTGTTATCGCCATTTTACAGTTGAGGAAACTGAGGCAGAGGTTAAGTGACTTCGCCAACTTCTGGGTTTTTTTTTAATCACATGTAAGGATTAGCTTTTAAGTCAAATATATTTTGTTATAAGGAAAAATACCATTCCTCTACTTTTCAATGTTTTATTTGATTAAAAAACCG